ATTCCCCCCGGCAGAGATTAAACCGCGTGCGCCAGGATCCTACAACGGGGATGGTCGGGGTAGACATTGACAGCCACCTGTATAAGCCCGTTGTCCATCGTGCTCGCGTGGGCAGGGCGCATCATGCGCGAGGTGGGATGAGCAACAGTAGGCACATCCAGAGCTAGCACAAAAGCATCGGTCGGCTTAGCACACTCCGCCAAGTCATACACCGTAGCTTGGTCCGCATTCGTCAGTTCTTCAAAGATGATCGCCAGCCCCAACAGCGGATCCACAGTCAGCATCACCGGCGATGGGGAGGCCAGACTACCCAGGCTCGTCCTAGGTGTGTCAATCGTCAGCATGGGTATGTTAATGCTCGGGACGCGCTCAAAGAAATCTCCCTTGGCAAACACCCTCCCCCCCAAGTTCTTGTACAGCCTGACCTGCTGCCTCACCTCCTCCAGCAGGTCCCTCTCCCCTCTCTCCAACCCAACCACGCAGACCAAAACATTGATTCCCTTGTTTCTGAGGTGTCTCGCCGCGGCAACAGCTCGGCTGCCGCTCTTGTTGTTTCCAGCCAACACCACCACAGTAGGAGGGGGCAAGACCCCAGTGGCAGCATCAACGATGCTCCCCTGCCTAACCTTGATCGCCGGATCAGCCAGCACCGTCCCAACAACCACCTCCGCCAACCCCCTCCCGGCATTCTCCGTCATCATCTCCTCCGTCAGCCCAATCTCATTATGAGCAATGTTCTCCAGATTCAACATCTGCAGCGCCGAGATCGTCTCGATTCGTCGGTTAGACGGCAGGACATACAACCCCTGATGCGGGGCGTGATGTGCATTAGTAGCAGCCGTAGCCGAGAGCTGTTGCTTTCTCTTGTCAGCAATGACAGACATCCCACTGCCTCCCCCGACCGCAGTCCGTGACGAAAGACGGCTGCTCGGCCTGCTCCCCTTAAGAGACGACGTGCGGTGATGATAATGGCTTACACCAGAATTGACCCTGCTAGGGCCGCCTCCAGGCTGTCCCGGCACAGCGCTCGCCTTCCGCGACTGACTCCTCCTGCTCGACGCCATCTTCCCCTCTCCCCTCCGTGACCCTTGCCTGCTCCCCATAACCGTAGCCCTATCGCTCAACTTCTCACTCCCATTCATAGCCCCATCATCCGCCTCGCTGTTCCAGAAATCATTGCTCGGCTCCTTGGGTATGAGTTTCTCCCTACTCGGCTTGAGTATCGTCGGCGTAAACGTCTTCTGGTGGTGATCCAGCACATTCTCCGAATAATGCAAATTCTTGCCCCCCGCCGTGCCCGGCTTCGGTTTCGGAATCCGGTTATGCGACACCAACCTATCCGCCTCATCCACCACATCCTCCTTCCTCATCTGCTCAAACAGGTTCTGCTTATCAAACTTGGCCAACCCGGTCTCAAAGTCGAAATCCCCCATCTCCTGCACATCCGTCACATCCTCCGAAGCCCACCCATTATTATCCGCCGTTGCCCTCCCACCCTTGGTAACCTTCTTCAACGAGTTAAAAGGCTGAAAGCTCGGCGTGCTCTGCAGCATAGGCGTCTGCCTCCACCCCTTCCCCTTTCCCGCCGTCTTCACCGCCGGCTGAGGCGACGACTCAACCTCCCCAGTAGCCTCCTGACTCAACTTGTTCACCCTCTGCTTCCTCGGCGGTCGCGTCTTCTTCCCCCTCCCCCCACCAGCAACCTGCCCATAGTCCAAAACCGCATCCCCCCCAACAGCCCCATCCTCATCCGACTCCAGTCCCTGAGCCTGAGCATGAAACTGCTTCACCGTCCGTGTAGGCGTCGCATCTCTGTCCACAACAACAGGAACAACCACCTTCCCCGGCCCAGTACTCGAAACCGGAGGCCTCTTCCCCACAGCAACAATCGCAGGGTCGATAAACACGGCAGGTTCATGTCCCTGTTTGATTTTAACCGGCGGTTCTTGCTTGAAAACAGGCACGGGCACCACCGGCTGACGAGGGGCGTATTGACTCGGATCGTGACTCAAATCGAGGATTTCGCTCGCCGAGATGCTGAGCTGGGGTTTCCACTCGTTTGTCTGGAGGAACCACACTGTTGCGAATAATATCAGCAACCATCACAAGTGGGAGTAAAAGAGGGGGGAGACTTACCATTACTCAACGTCAAACTATTCCCAGCCTCCACACCGCTGACCGTCCCCCGGATCCTGACCGGCTGCGGGTTTCCCCTGAGGGTAACCAGCATCTGGAGGCCAATAAACTCGGCCATGATGGATGGGCGAGGCTTTGGGGTGGTGGATGTTGGGTTCGTGACCCTCGGGGGTGGGGTGGTGTTTTCGTGAACTGGATTTTAAAGTCCTCTTTTTTTTTTCTTTTTTTCTTTTTTTCGGGAGGGGGGAACTCGATTATTGGGCTGGTCGGTCGGTTGTTGAAAGAGAATCGTTTAGTCGGTCTGATATCCCTCTCTCTCTCCCACCGAATTTGTTTTGTGTGTGTGCAGTAAGTGAAAGTTTGTGCCCACTGTCCCGCTGTCCTGCTTGCACGGGACCTTAATTTCTTCTGCAAGTCGGTAGGTGATGGTGGTGGTGGTGGTCGTCGCAACTTTCCCCCGTTGACAGTTCGTTTTGCTCTCTTATCGATAAATTCAGATCCAGTTACAAATAATCGGCCGAGCCCAGGCCCCCTTCCGCTGTTCTGCCAAGACCTAAAAAAATGCACACACCACCACCTGCAAAAGAACGCGGGGCACCTTCCCCCCCCCAAACCTTTTAAAACCAGGCGACACGGGGACGACACACCCTCTGTCGTGCAACCGTTATACGGTCCCTGAATCGTTTTGTGAGACCAAACTGCACAACTCAGTCTCATGCAAGTTTGCCTTCCCATGCTTCCGGGTCAAAATGTTCTAGAAAGGCACAAACAAGGAACAAACAAAGCAGGCCTGGTCCTTATTCCCTTAAACACCACATCTTATAGATGCCAAACAGATAAACACACACACACAATAGCTACTACTTTGTCTTCAGTGCCCTTCTCATCATTGATACTTCAGACATACAAATCTCCCTTTCATACCCATAGGAGCTTCTTATTCCCCCAGGGCATCTCCCAAGTTGTCCCCGTTCCATCATCATCCATCCCTCCTTCCTAATGTTACCCCCCTCAAAAGCTGTCGAGCTGTGATGTCCTTACCCCCCCAATGGAAAAAATACTACTCAAAATGAATACATGCCCAGACAACCTATTTATCACAATGCTTCCAAACCTCTCCCAAAAAGAAAACGCCATGCCATGCCAATCTTCTTACTCCAACCCTACCCTGACAGGCCAACCATCTTGCATAAATCACCCAAAAGAGGCCATGGCCTCTTCCTCATCCGCATCCAAATCATCATACACAGGTGCCCGCCGCTGTGTAGTAGCCGCCGGAGCAGCCGCAGGTTTCGCCAGAGCCGGTTTCGCTGGAGCAGCAACCGCCGGCTTCTGATAGGCAAAGTCGTCCAACGTCCCCGTCTTTTTCTTCACCGCCACGTCCGCTCCATACAAACTATTGTAAAAATTGATAACACGCGGATGTGCCATCACCTTGGTCTTGTTAAAGTTGAGCACCTGCAGGCCCTCCTGCGTGGTGGCACGACTGAGCGCGACGTACGCCTGCCCCTTCTCGAAAATCTTGTTCAGGTCAACCTTGACACGCTCCATGGTCTGACCCTGAGCTTTGTGAATCGAAAGGGCCCATGCCAAAATCAGGGGAAGCTGCTTCCGGGATGCCTGCACCTCTCCATTGGGAAGCTCCACCTTCCATTCTTCAGGGACGCAGAGAAGAACGCGCTGGGACCCGTCCACAGCGTGGAACCTGACCACAGGGTACTTGACAGCGTTCTTGTTGTTCTCAAGCGCACTGGTAAAAGCGCGGACTCGCTTCTTGGTGTCAGACTCATCTTCAAGACCATTGTCGATACCAAACTGATCTTCGGTGGCAAATCCTTCCACGGTCCCAAGAGATCCGTTGACTAGAGTCTCGTCCATGTTCTTGATTAACATGACTTGAGCCCCCTTCTTCAGATCGAGCGTAGGAGGTGCCATCATGTTGGAAAAGAGCTTTTCCCGAACGTTCTCGGGAAGTGTACTCTGGTCGGCAGCTTGGAAAGTGTGAGGCGACCCTTTTAGAGAGTCCAGGCGGGCTTTATTGGACCGCTCTACCTCGCTTCTGGTGGGGAACCTAAACCGAGTCGTTAACAAACTGGCCAGACTTTCTACAAGAGGGGTGACAAACAGTTCGGTAACCTGGATGCCATCACTGAAGGTAAGAGGTCGTTTCAGGGCCTGGAAGTTTTTCACTGTCTTGTCGCTGATTTTCCCCAACCGCATTTCGTTGAGCATTTCGGCAAATCCTGTGACTCCGGTAAGCGTTTTATTCAAATCACTTCAGGACAGAGCCTCTTACCAGGATCCCTTTGTCGGAACACTTCGGTCAAACCAATGGTATGGTCGATTGACAGACTCCAAGTAGCAGCATCAAAAGCAAACCTGTGCTCCCGGCCACCTTCAGGCACCGGAGGCAATTGGAAGAAATCGCCCGTAATGACCAGTTGGATACCACCCCATGGACGTCCATTGTTGCGTAGAATCCTACCAATCTGAGAAAGCTTGTCGAAAAGGTCACTGTCCACCATCGAAATCTCGTCAATGATAAGCGTCTTTGTCTTAATCCATCGATTCTTGGCCTTGGGATTCCGCCTGATCTTCTTGACCAAGGTGTTGACGTCCTCTTTGCCCAAACCGATACCCGAGAAACTGTGGAGCGTGATACCGCCAATATTGCAAGCAGCCAGGCCGGTAGACGCCGTCACAGCAAGCTTTTCTGGGTCGCGGGCGTACTTCTTTTTGAGGTCGGTGATGATGGATCGCATCAAGACCGACTTTCCTGTACCGGCCGGACCAGTGAAGAACACACTCTGACCTTTTTCCACAACAAGATTCTTGACATGACGCTGCTCTTGGCTCAGCTGGATAGCGGCAGCCTTTGCGTTGGAAGACTTGCTTGCTTTCACATGTTGATCCACAGCATCGTGCACATCATCCCAGGATACGTCGTCAGTGACCGGCTTGCCACCGCCAGGTCCCTTCTGCTGCGTCTTGAGCTGTTTCTTCTGAGCCTTTACAGCACTGGCGGTTGCATCCCAAAAGGAAGTGGCCTTGGGCTTTGCGTCAGGGGTCGCCTCGCTGATGCCGCGGTGATCATGGGCTTCCTCATCTTCAATGGTGATGGCCTGCTCCTTCTTCCACGCCGGCGGAAGCTCTCTCTTGGGCTTTTTTGACAACCTCGGGGGCCTGCTGGGCGTGGTATGGGTACTCTCGTTTCGGTGCCGGGGCTTGCGGGGCTGGCTGGGCTCGAGCTCGAGGGGGAGCAAAATGCGAAGGAGAAGAGTCGGGCCAGGACGTCAAGGTGGCCTCGCTCGTCGGGATGGGCAGGTCGGATATCTGGGGGGTACTCTTCGGTGGAGCACGGGGGATTTCTGGCAGAGCAGAGGGGGCTTCCCAATCCAAGTCGATCTCATCGCTAAAGTCGTCCTCGTCCAAGTCCCACTCATTTGTGAAGTTCTGTGGTGGCGGGGTGTCATCCGCAATGTGGATCACTTCTACCTTGTCCGCAAAAGACCCGTTTGTTGAACAGATGGATGAGAGAGTATTGGATTTGGGGTTGGTGACAGGAGGGCGGGAGATGTTGGACGATTGGCTGTTCAAAGGGTTCGTGGTACTCGAGAACTGGGATGGACGGTGTGCTGATGGTGGTTGCTGGCTGGCTCTGAGGAACATCTCATCGACCTTAGCAGTCGACGTCGAGACTGGATTCGGACTACTCGAGGGGAATAGCTGCTTCTTGAGACTAGCATTACGAGACGAGTTCTGCGACTGCTGGTTCGCAGCGGCGGCGGTGGCCCTCTCAAACATTCCCATTGTGGCGGTTGTCGTCGGCGTCGGCTTTGTTGCTGTTGATACAGGCGTGGCTTGCGGAGGGCGAGGTTGTTGAGTGGTCAGCCGAGCCGAGTGCACATAGGCCCGAAACTTCGGGACACAACGTGCGGACAATACGGGATTCCTCTCGAGGGTTGGGAGTGCTCGATGGAGGAGATGACTGGTAAGACCAGGCATATACAGAGCGAAGCCACTCAGGGCAAAGTCGTGTCTGAAAATCCAGGTTCAAAATGTCTGGGGCTGCTCCATTTGGGCTTGGTATTGGATGGAAGGCACGCGGATCAGCCTTTCCTTCCGGAGCGCGTCTCGCTTTGGCGCTTCGCGTCTTGGAAAAGCGCTGACTTGCAAACGCGGGGGGCTGCTCGTGCGCACAAGATCAGGGCCCGGCCCCACTTACCCAGGGGAACAATCTTGTGTTTGTGCAACAGCCAACTTGTGCACTATAACCCTAACCCTTATTTCACCGGTAACCCTCGTCTTCTCAAATTGGAGTCCGAGTACACAAAGCCCAGTGTTCGTATTCTTCAAGTCCAAAGATACCAGCCTCAATGCTCCACCCTTATCATTCAGCTCCATCAGCCCCAAATCACCATTCCCCATCGGTAATACGACATTCAGACCCCAACAATGGTGATAGCAAACTGAGTCAAACATGCTCTACTAGATTAGAAGCCACATGTTTCTTCTCACACCTGGATTTCTCTTACACCCATCACGGCAAGACATTCACCAATGGAAGCAATGGCTCAAGAACCGTACATACAAATTTTTCGAAACAGTGAGTGAGGGTTTGAAGTCTTAGAACGTCGGGATAATAAGATGTGGTCTGTGCATGCACCTTCATCCACATCATGGGTTGTGGTTGGACAATTGGATTTTCTCCGCACCAGCCATGACCTTGTGACCTGCTTCCAGAATTCAACTACAACCAGTGCCGACACCGCCATTTCCGCATTTACATGCAAACCGTCTCGAAAGGCGTTCTTCTCGTGATCTTTTGCTCTGTGGTTGTTGATCTGTTCTTTGTTCTTGGCAGGCAGGGAAGAGCCAAGCATGCTCAGCATTGGCAAAAGAGCTTGCCCGTGGACAAGCAAAAGCTAAGACCACTCAAGCCTTTTCTTCTGAAAGATGGTTCGTTGAGCGAGGGCTGGGCATCCCTGGGCACAACTTGGCGGAAAGGGTTCCACGACGACGACGACAGAAATGCCCAGCCGTCACCGGAATTCTGCAGCTTCGGCTGCTGCTGGATGCGAATGACTTCGCCTAAATCCTGAGACATCTCACCAACCTGCTGGAATTGGAGCCCGACGCTTAGGATGCAGGTGTTTCTGTAATTGGCAACTTTCGAAATCGTCTTCCGCCTGCGGCGCCGCGGACGGAGGTCACACAGCAGTCAACGGCGGGTTATCGAGGGGGATTGAGACACTTGGTTGGTATGGGTAGGGCTGTGAGTAAGCCACTTGTGAGTTTGAATGCGCCCGAGCGAAATCTCGGATGAGAAGCAATCGACATCTGGTCCGTTGTTACACTCCGGGCTTACACCAGATCAAACTCGCTGAAGGGCATCGGGGATTCCGCTCTCTCTTTATTTATGTCCAAAACTTGGGCTCTTTTGGTGACTGTTCAATGCTTCTATGACGCAGATGCCGCAGCTTGTGATAGCTGGGATGGACGACATCATACACAGGGTAGCTTTGTAGCCGATTGCCCGAAGTGTGGTTGATTTGTTGGAACCTTGAGGGCCCACCAAAAAAGAACAAACCGCCACATCCATAACCACAACCCGGCACTAGTAAGCTGCGTGGCAAGGATCCTGGTAGGCTATCCCCAAGATTTGAGCAAGTGTCTTCTGGGTTGGATAGACTATAAAGCTAAGCCATGGGTGCTGTTCGTTCTCTTCAGTTCATAAATACTTTTACCGATACCCCAAAGCGCATTGGATCGCTCTCTCAACGTCTGGTCGCCGTTTTCGACTTGATTACGCTCCTTCCAAACCTTCGATCCCTCGTCGGCTGGACCTGGACCCTCTTTCCCAGCTTCCGAGCGTGGCTATTGACTTTGACCGTGCCGCCAAGGCAACGAGGAAAAGAGGAAAAGTTGTTTTTTGTTTTCTTTTTTACACCTTCTTCTGTCATCCTACTACAAGACGCCCCAGACGCGCCGGACAAGCCATCGACTCGCAAGGTTACTCGCTCTTTTGACCTAGCTCATATTTTGGCCTGTGCTTGGACGAGTCAAATCTAACCGCCTCAGTCCTAGAAACGACGAGCAACAACCGCGTCTGTTCGGCAGCTCGTGACTTATGAACCGCTGAGGTCATTGAGTTCACCTCGCTCTCTACAACAAATTCATCAACAACACTGCTATACAGTGGAGGTTTACATCTTCATCACCTCCGACATCACGAATTCCCGGTCGACTTTTAGCCGGTCGTCGGCTACCCGCCATTCAAGATGGTCTGGGATCACCTCTCGGTCACAGGTCCACACCTGATTTACCTCATTTTGGGAGGCTTCACCACCATTTTCATGCTATGCTCCTCCGTCATCAAGGAGCGCATGTACATTGGCGAGGCCACAGTTGCTACGCTATGCGGCATCATCTTTGGGCCTCACGTCGCCAATGTCATAAATCCTACGAAAGACTGGGATAGCGTCGATATCATCACCATCGAGTTTTCTCGAATCGTTCTGGTAGTGCAATGTTTCGCTGTGGGCGTCGAGTTGCCCAAGTTCTACATGGAAAAACACTGGAAATCCGTCACCCTATTGCTTATCCCGGTCATGCTCTTCGGCTGGCTCATCACGAGTGTGTTTATCATGTGGTTGGTTCCACCATTGAACTGGATCGAAAGCCTGGTGGTGGCCGCCTGTGTCACGGCTACTGATCCAGTTCTGGCCTCGTCTGTTGTTGGCAAGGGCAAGTTCGCCAAGAGGGTGCCGAAGCATTTGAGAGATCTCCTCTCGGCAGAGTCTGGCTGCAACGACGGCATGGCTTTCCCATTTGTCTACCTGGCATTATATCTGATTCACGACAAGCTGAACGCCAAGGTGGCTCTCAAGCACTGGTTCTTGTACACCGTCTTGTATGAGTGCATCTTTGGTGCGATTTACGGTTTCATCATCGGATATATGGCCCGTCACGGCATCAAGTACGCAGAAAAGCACGATCTGATCGACAGGGAGAGCTTCTTGGTATTTTACTTCGTTTTGGCGCTGTTCGCTGCTGGCTCTGGCAGTATCCTGGGTCTCGACGATTTGCTGGTTGGCTTTGCAGCAGGTGTGGGCTTCTCAAACGATGGTTGGTTTACGCAAAAGACCGAGGACTCTCACGTCTCCAACGTTATCGATTTGCTGATCAACTTGACCTACTTCATCTACTTCGGAACCATCATTCCCTGGGAAGATTTCAACGATCACGCCATTGGACTCTACGCCTGGAGGCTGGTAGTGCTCGCCGTATTCGTCATTCTGTTCCGACGAATCCCTATCATGATGGCTCTCAAACCTATCATTCCCGACCTCAAAACGTGGCGTGAAGCGCTTTTTGCAGGTCACTTTGGCCCCATTGGTGTGGGTGCTGTTTTTGTGGCCATGCTGGCTCGGGCAGAGCTTGAATCGGAAAGTCCAGTCCCGTTAACCAAGCTTCCCGATCCTGGATCGCCTCATTACGATTTGATCAGAGTTGTCTGGCCCATTGTTGCATTCCTTGTTGTTGCCTCCATCATTGTGCACGGCTCTTCGATTGCCGTGTTTACTCTGGGCAAGCATATCAACACGCTCAGCATCACCATGTCTTACACACAGGCCAACGAGGATGGGCCTACCTGGATGTCGCGGTTACCTCGCATCACATCAACGTCGCGCTCTCAAGCCAGAACTATGTCTGATACAGATGGCGAAGAGCTCAAGATGCCGGATTATCCTCCAGGAACGTTGCCACCTATCGGCTATCCAAATAACTTCTTGCGTCGTGTACGGGAAGACGAAAACAACGAGAAGCAGAGCGGCAGTCGTCAGAACAGTAGACCGTCGTCCAGGTCTGCGAAACGGAGGAAAAAGATGTGGGATGATGGAATTGGCCCAGGAGGACCTATCAGTCAATCAGCCATCTTCCCTCAACGCCGCACCCCGAGTGAAGGACAAACACCCCTCCCGCCCGTAGCCCAAAGCCCTGCCCAACCTCATGACGCACAACAGGACTCTATGCAGATCACGCCCGTCGACGAGCGTGCGGCGAGATCCCCCACCCCGCATGAACGACATCATCAGGCTTCTGGCGACTCTACCCGTGCTGGCTCGCCTAACATGGGCACTCCCGGAGACGAGCACCGCAATCCTATCGAAGTGTACAACGAAGGTGACAATATCATCATTGAGAACGCCGACGGCGACGTCCTGGCGGTGCATCCATCGCAGAGCGGTAACAACGTTGCGGAACATGCCAAGGACCTGAAGTCAAAGTTGGAATCCGAGGCCGGACCTTCGGGATGGAGTTACAATGCCCTGAAGCACCGGGTGGCCAACTGGCGAGAGGAAGAACTCGCCAAGAGAAAGGAGAAGGAAAAAACAGCTCGGAAGGGCGAGCCGGCCCGTGCTTTCCAATATGGTACAACTGTAAGTTTACCTGCGTGATCTGACATCAAAACCAAGAGTTAACACCACTGGCAGATTATTGTTGAAAACGAAGACGGCGAGGTCGTCAAGAAGTACGACCTATCCACGCCAAAGTCTCAAGGCGATCAAGGCAAGGCAGGCCCTTCGGGAGAAGGAACACAGGGCCACTCACAGAGGCCCAATCTCAGCAGGTGGGCTAGTACTGCGTTTGGACGATCGCAGGCTGGCGAGGCATCTGCGAAGAAGAAGACTCCGGAAGAAGAGGAAGATGAAAAGGACGACAAGCATATCCGGTTCACTGTTGGTGGAGTCGGTCGCCGCATGACGAAGGAGGATTTCCTCGTGGAGATGCAGAAGCTGGACAAGAACACACGCCGCGATGTTGTTGACAAGTCGTCGGCGTCGCAGGAACTCAAGACAGTTGCTAAGCGCGATACCCAGCCACAGATCAAGGTCTCGGCTCCGGGTCAGCCAGGGGCGAGCAGGAAGAACTCGGCGTCTCCTGCGGCCGGGGCCAGCTCAAAGCCGCAGGCGACTTCCCCTGGGCCAGAGCGGTCGAGCGGATCTAGCGGTGGATCAAGACCATCGAGCAAGGAAGCTTCCGAGACGGAGGTGGAAAAGAAGAGGAGATTGGAAGCTTTGCGTGGTGTTCCTAGCGGCAGTCGGGCGGGTGAGGAGGTGGCTGAGACGGCAGCGGAGCGGAGGAGACGAGAGGCGGCTCTGGGAATGTCTCGTGAACCGGAGGAGAGCGACAGCGAGGATGATGATACCCCTAGAGTGCCTCCACCGAAGCCTCGCATCCGGTTCGTAGAAGGGACCTTGAACCGGTAGAGTGAATGGATAGGCTTCAGTAGCGTTTTGGCTTTTTTGTTTTGCTTTTGGCAATGCCTATACTTTTTTTGACCAAGTATTTACGGGAGATTGGGAGGGGAGGGCAAGGGGATAATCAGACAGCGGAGGTGATAAGTAGGAGTGGTACATAATGGTTAATATAGTGTAATAGATACCTTATGAGTTGAGGACGTTGTGAACGAATAAATGATGACAGGAAGGCAATCAATATCAAGCCTTTAAAGAGAATCCAGATTTTCCCTCGGAGAACAAAACCGTTGCTGAGCTTCACCAAAGAAAACACAACACCCAATTGGCCGCTACCCCACATTTTCTTTGCCCAGTCCGAAATAGGCTTAGCCCATCAACTTTTCAAGCAGAGCAAGTCCGTCATATCCTTGGTGCTTTTTTGGTGCGAAAAAGAAGGTCGGCAGAGAAAGCTTTTGGTCCCGCTTCCGCCGCCCGCCTTGAATTTATTTGTTGTATTCCATCATCAACCACCACCACAGCAACAAGCAACCAATCGACGGCTCTTTTGCGCAACCTTTCTTTGCGCAAACCTATAAATCGAAACACTTCTCTCTCTTTCCTACAAGGAAGGCATATAGACCACATAAAGCCAAAATGGTCCAACTCACAGAAGTAGAGGACGAGCACTTCCAGCACGCCCAGGTCGGGCCTGATGAGGACGAGGAGGATTTCACTGATACTGGTTTGTTCTTCCCCTTTCCCATTCCCTCCCCTTTCCCACTCCGCTTCCGCCCTCCCACGTGCCCTCGCTGACGCTTCGTCGTCGTCCAGACTCCGAAATCTCAACCGACTCCCACTACGACCCCACAGCCGAGACCCTCGCCGAGCGTCTCGCCGCCCTGAAAGACATCATCCCCCCGACCACCCGCTCCTGGGTGCACGCCAAATACGAGGCTACCACCTCGACCATCAAATCTGTCGTGACCTTTGCGGGGAGGTCTGCCTGGGCGCTGAGCGTGAGCGCGATACTGGTCGGTGTCCCCTGGGCTCTGGCGTACGGCGAGGACCAGCAGTTTGCGGCTATGGAGGCGGAGCAGAGGATGAGGGAGCTGGGCGGGGAGATTATGACTGCTCCTGGGCAGGAGGGCGGGAATAAGGATCCTATGCTGGGGGATGTTGCGGCTGCGGTTGGGGGTGGTGCTGGGGGCGTGCAGCAGGTTAAGGCTGCTCTTTGAGGGGTTTGGTGGGAGGGAGATGGATGAGAGATGACGACGATCAAAAATGGGAGAGGGGGGACGGGGCAAGAGGGGAGGTCGGAGGTGAGGGGGGAGGTATATGGGGCGGCTACATTTGGCCAGGCATCGCAAGATGTCCGTCTGTGACTGTCATCCAGCAGTACAGAAGGACAGGCTGTCGTGGTTTGATGACAATTTTCTCAACAACACACTCCCGCTGAGATGATTACTCCCACCACCCTGGCCAGCCCCCCTTATACTTCACCCGATTACATGTACATTATTCAAACTTCAAAAACCCCACCACACACACACACACACACACACACACACACACACACACACACCTATCTGTATCTGTAATTTACTGCCGCGTGTTTTGATAGAGGCTTCTCTTGTTCCGAGCTTGAGAATGAGACGGGTCGAGTGATTATGGCAGAGTGATGTTTGATGATCAAATTGGGCATTTGGATATAGCATGAAGGATGAAGGAAGGGGGTGTTGCTGGCTGAGCTAATACTATATGATGCGGATGATGTGGCTTATGTCTGGGTTTCTCATTGTTCAGCTTATACGAAAAAATCAAGCTGTGAAATAGCATTGGATTAAAAGGTCTAATACTAGTTTTGCAAGAACACCATGACAAACACAAGCCCCCACCGAGACTCATTGAGGATCAGCTCCCATCTCAAGGGGCATATCCCTCTTCATCAACCAACGTCCCCTCCTTGACACAATCCTCTACCCACCTCCCCGTCACAATCCTCGGCACATGCCTCCTCGAACTAACCTCATACCTCACGCTCGCCGCCAACTCCTTCCTCTCTTTCTCCCCATCCCCGACCACCACCACATGCGTGATCTCCTTATCATCCAGACCCCCCACCACAGTCCCGTTCCCAAACTTGACCTCATTCTGCAGCTTCACCGCCTTCAACTCCGTACTTGAGGGCCCACTCTTCTCCTCCTCCTCCTCCTCCTTCGCCGCAACAGGGAAGTAAACCCTACACCGTCTAAACAAGAAACTCTTCAACCCCTCCAAACCCCTCCCTCGCTCCTCCAGCTGATCCAAAAAGTGCTCAGCATCAAACTCCCCCGTCCTGTCATCATGAAACGCATCCTCCTCCTCTTTAACACCCCCTTTGGTGCGCATGTCGTCAATGATATCCCTCAGCTCATCAGGGGTAACATCCCTGACATACGAATCCCCATACTGATCCGTATTCTCCGCCGCCAACTTCACCATCTCCTCCGTGGCATGAAACAAGTGCCCCTCCTCAAACGGGAGGAGATAGCCCTCTCCATTATTCTGCGCAAGGCAGTCAAAGACCCATTTGGGCTTGACAATATCCGCGTCACCGGCCCGTTTCAGCGACGCCACTCGGACGACGTTCTTCTCCGCGAGGAGGATCATGTTCCCGCCCTTGTCGACTTGTTGATGAATCCTCCCTCCATGCTCCTTGATCAACTTTTCCAGATCAGGCTTGGACATCTTGCGGGGTTTGACTGCCTCGGACAATACACAAAAGTCCAGTCCCTGGAACAGTTGGTTGTCAGACTTCCTTCTAGCCTGAGGGGGGGGAAACGCAACCTGGCTCATCGGTTCGGCCTTGATATTATCCCCCCCCTCGGCGAACTCAACCGGCGCAGCATTCGGATCCGTCCCCGCGATGACCAACTCCTTCTTCAACCTCTTTGCTGGCTTGCGCTTTCTGCTCTCCATCTCCATCGCCTTTCGCTCCTTCTCTTCTTCCTTGACTTTGTCTTTGAGAAGAACAAAATCGCTCGCGTCCATGCCCTCGTCCCACGATTTGTCCAGTCTCAGCTTACGGAACCGAGGGAAGCGTAGAGTCCAGCCCATGGCGAACTGGTCGGAGGGGCCGATGGAGGCTGCCTTGATGGACATGACAACCGACTCACTAGGTCGGATCCATACATCTGGTTTTTCGTATTGCATTTTCCCTCCCGCGAGCTCGATGTAGTCCGTGGGCGGGTTGCTCGCTTGCCAGTCTTGCCATTTGCCCTCGGTGTGGTGTCTGATCTCGGCGTAGTCTTCTGCTTTGAGGCCGCCGCCTACTTTGCAAAAGCTCAAACACTTCTCTCTGGTGAGGGCAGCGCCGGACCTGACGTGGTTCTCGCTGACGCGAACGCCGCAGAGGAAGCTGGAGAGGATGCCTCCGCGACGGCCGGAGCCGAAGTAGCCGCCGATTATGACGCAGTCGAGGGACTCGCCATACTCGGACATGTACTCGGGTTTGACCTTGATCCAGTCGTTGTTGCGGCTGTTGAGCTGGTAGCGAGAGCGCGGGTTCTTGAGGATGAGACCTTCCGAGGCTTCGGCGACGACTCTGCGGAGGAAGGGCTCGATGGCGTCTGGTGTTGTGGCTGATTCGTAGGGGTGAATCTCGAGACGGCGATGCTCGCCCCTGACAGCTGCCTCTAGGGCAGCGTGGCGGTCCCGGAGGGTGTAGTCCGCCAGAGGCTTCTTGTTCAGAAGAAGAATATCAAAGACCCGATACAGAGGTCGAGGCCCGTTCTGAAACGGATTCTTCTGCTGATCCAGCGCCGCCGTCTTGAGCGTGCCAAACGGCACAATCTTGTCGATTTCCGGATCCCACGTAATCATCTCTCCATCCAAAATCAACTCCCTCACCCCGTCATGAAACGCATTCTTCAAATGCCTCGTCAACGCCGAGTTATCATCCTCCAACCCCTCCCCATACAAATACGTGTAATCCTTCGCCTTCCTGGACCAAAACGCAAACCTAAACCCCCCGGGCACCGTCTCATCCTCCTTCATATGCATCTGCATCCTCTCCCCATCCAGCTTCTCCTCAATCCAAAACTCCTTCTCCTCCTCGGTAACCCCCAGATTCTGCACCAGCTTCCCAAACCCCGTCGTCATCTGAAACTGCGCCAGTTGTGGCTGAAAACACTGCATCAAGCTCACCCCGGTTTCCTTCTGCTCCAACCTCGTCTCCGGATCCCACAACTCCCAGCAAACCCTCCTCAAACTACTCGAAACGCTAAACAACGCCTCCGCATCCGGATGCCACAGCCCCAAAAACGTCCTCTCCGTCGCGCCCACCCTCATATCCTTCAGTATAATCCTCACCAGCCACATCACCTCCTCCGCACAGCAATTCCTGTAAATCTCCTCAAAAATCGGCAGCTGCTCCTCCTCCCCACTAGCCCCAGCCAACCGATCCAACAAAACATTAACCTCCCCAATCGTCCACCCCCCCGGCGTCCCCCTCATAGCCCTCTTCCCAACAACCTCCAGCACCCGTCCCGCAAAATCCCCCGCCGTTCCTGGCTGCCCCTTTCCCCCAAACCTCTGATTCCCCCCACCACCCCCCGGAAGCTTCCAATGAAGCAAAGAATACCCATCCTCGCTATCCCTCCCAATCTTCATCACCCTCACCAGCATCTTCCCAATCCCGCTCTCCTTCAACCCGTAGACCCCCCTGTCCCGATCCTTGTCAGGCAGGATCAGCCTCATGGCAGGGTAGAAGTCATCACCCACCTCCTTTCTCCACTGGCTCATGAACCGCTCGATGATGTGCCTTCTCTGCTCGTGGTAGTTCACCCCGCCCGTCTTCTTCTTCGCCTTTCCAAATCTTGTTTTCCCCGGGACAGCAGCAGCAGCTGCACCAGCAGCAGCAGACGACCCGGGCTTGCAGTCCATAAGCGGGTTAAACAACGACTTGTACAGCTCCGCAAACGGCAGCGTCTTGTGCGCGTTTTTCGGGCGGTGGGGGAAACTTCTCTCAACACATTAGCAAAAAAAAAAAAAAAAAAAAACATGGTTGATGTGTTAGAAGGGGGAACGAACGTACTGCTGATCAACTTCCTCCAAGCTCATCCCACCCCTCCCATACTGCGCCTCGTCCTCCTCGACAGCCTCCGCGTCGGGACCCTGCCGGTGTTCTCGTCTTCTCTGCGACGCCATCTCTTGCAAACTTTCTTCCAGTGTTTCTCTTGTCGATGAAGATAAAATAAAGTGTCGATGGGCAAGATTGACCAGAAAGGGAAAAAGCGCGGTCGGTGTTAGTTGGCTGGCGCGAGCTTCACCCCCCTCCCTTGAGCCACTCCAAGTTCGGAATTGAAAGTCAAGTGCGAACTTCTTTGGATGTTGAAAGACGTCAAAAACAACTCCAGATCGGAATTTCAAAGCTCTTATCATCCACTGATGTTTGATGAAAGAATCGCGATTTCAACCTCACAGGCCCCCCCTGATCATGTATACACCTTTGTTATGAGACCCGGTCGTTGCCTGGGTCCTCCCCGAGCTAGCAACAGGCAGCAGCGCACCTATAACCCTAACCCCAAGTATCATCGACGGCATAGCTCTCAGACGTCATCATTTCCAACAGATCACAACTTCACAATACACATCTCAAACGACATCAAGTAAAAAAGAACTCATCGTGGTATTCATCACGCGTCAAAAGAAAAAGAGCTACCACATAGGGGATACACTACTTAAGACACATACAACCTAACCTTTCCAGCCCTCCTCATTTCCTTGGGCCAGCCCTTCGTTATTAACGCAGTCTGTCTCCTCCACAAACCAAACCAATCCTCCCCATCGAAACTGCTCATTATTACTGTAACTGGGTATAAAAAAAACTCGACTCCCTTTTCCGAAAAACCTGTTGCACTCTGGTATCATAATCCCAAAAGCCCACTCACTTTTTCTTTCCACAACAAAAACAATCACATCACCTCCTTAAACGGCATAACCAGCGGGAGCAGTCGTGGTAGCGGCTGGGGGAAGCTGGGTCTTGTCCTTGAGGGCGCCACCATTGAGAGCGCTGCCATTAAGAGCACCACCATGGGCATAGGCGCCGCCGTTGGAGTAGGCACCGCCGTTGGAGTAGGCGCCACCATTGCCAGCATGAGCACTGCCGTTACCACCATAGGCACCGCCGTTACCAGTATAGGCACCGCCGTTGCCAGCATAAGCACCGTCATTACCGGCATAAGCACCGCCATGGGCAGCAGCAGTGTCAGCCGAGGTGGTGTGCGGCTTGCGAGTGACGGTAGGGGCGGGAGGGATGTCACGGCTCTTGGAGGCGCTGCCAATCGAAAAGACAGGGCTCTCCCACTTGTCACCCTTGCGGGCAAGCTCCTTGTACTCGGTGGCCTTGGAGCTGATGCCGCCAGGAAGGTGGATGTTGGGGAACATGCTGTCCTCCTTGGTGATGGCGTAGTTGACCTTCTTGTCAGCCGCAACGGCTTCGGCCTTCTGCTTGCCCTGCAGAATCTGCTTCTGGGCCGCAGTGACGTAGCGGTTGTAAATGTTGGGAACATTCTCGGGATCCTCACGGGCCTGATCCATGGCACGGTCGGCCTCCTGCTTGATCTGAAAGAGAATTCTATCTAGCTTGACCGCCTGGTCCTTGATGGCCTTCTCCAAAGCCTTCTGCAGACCAGGGCGGAGGACCTTGAGCATGATGGGCTTGAAGAGGCCGAACAGAAGCTTGTGGTTAGACTTGGACAGCTTGATGTGCAGGTTCTTGACATCAACATCCACCTTGTCAATCTTGAAAAAGTTCTGCGAATCCCGCTCGTCGGGGGTAGCCATCTTCATACGAAAGCTGAACCCATCGCCGGCGAGCAGGATATTAGCCACACCCGTGTCGGTGAGGGAGGGGAAGCCCTGCTTGCGCTTGATGTAGTAGCTGACATCGCGCAAATCCATCTGGACTCCGGCAACCTTGATATCGATCGAGTGCTTGCTCTTGTTGCTCAAATTCTTGCGCCCAAACCGCATGTAGTTCTCACTAGCAATCTCGAGAATGTTGGGCATGAAGTTGTCGCTCTCAAGAACAAGGTTCTCAATGACCGCATCAATCTGATGGTCAGAGTACTCTATGCGTGGCACAGGGATATATGCGATCTTCTCAAACATGGCTGGGAGGATGACATCGGTAAGATCCTTGACCAGATGGGGCTTGAAGGTGGGCTTGCCATTTTCATCATTGCCGAGCTCGGTGAAGAGCTTGGTCAACGAGTTGGCGAAAGCCTTGTTCTGGGGGTCCTGATCAAACTGGTCACCCAAGAACTTGATCTCATCGACAATGCGATCGGTGTGGACGCGGTACTTGGTGCGGAGAAGGTAGTTGCCCTGGTCGTAGAGGGCGTTCCACTGAACGTTGGAATCGTCGTCGAGAATGTAGCCTTGCTCCTGGAGGCAGCGGCGGATGTAGACGTTCAAGGACCTGAACCAGCCCTTGAGCTCAGGATCCCGGTCGGCGTCCTCATAGATGGCATTGATCGAGGCCCAAAGGTCGTCAGTGGAAGTGCCGTTGGCAAAGCGCTCGATCAAAGTCTTGAGGTCGCCCTCGGCCTGGGCCAAACCAGTGCGGGTCTCCTTGACAGTACCAGTGCCGCCCTTGGCCAACCGGTTGGCATGATCACCGTACATTTCAGCAAGGTTCAACAAGGTGGTGATGGCGGCGTGATAATCGGGATGCTGCTGGCACTCCAGAACCATTTTCTGCAGACAATGTTAGAACGGAAGAAACAAAAATGGTGTTCAACAGGACTTACCTTGAGACGCCAGATGGTCTGCTCGCGGCGCTCCTGGGGCATCTTCTTGGAGAAGTAATCCTTAGTACGGGCACGATACTCGTCCTTCTTCGCCTTGGCCTTGTCCTTGGCCTCCTGGTCAAGGTTGGCATCGAGCTGGCGCTTTGCGGCATTAGCGGCGGCCTGGGCACCACCGACAGCATTGATGCCGGTTGATCCGCCATGAGCCTGCTCGCGAGCCGCAGTGCCAGCCAAATCTCTGGGGTCAGAGGATCCAGTGGGATGGGCAGTGGAGGTGCCCTCGGCAGCAACAGCCTTCGCATCCTCCTTGGGATTACCCTTGTAGTAGCTGCCCAACTTGTTCTTCATCTCCTCCTTGCCTTGCTTGAAATCGGGGGCCTCGTGCCAGGTGTTGTCCGCAGCCGGAGTGTCGATCTGGTTAAGATCCTCATGTGAAGGCTTAACGCGGGCAGCCGCATTGGTGGCGGCGTCACCAGCCATATCGCGGAGAAGGATAGTAGCGTCCTTGACTGGGCATGAGTTAGCATGATGACTGGTCCCTTCCAGAAGAAAGACAACTTACGAAGCTTGCGGAACTGGCCATTGGTGATGATCAGGGTTCCGAGAGTGCGGAAACCCTCAAGAGCCTGGTTACCATGTTGCTGCGCCGTGTCCTTGTCAACGGGAGCACCAGGAACATTGACGGTTTTGGGGTCGAATTGCTGTGTTTGCCAGATGAAATCCTGAAGCAGGTTGCCCTCGTTCTTGGACAGAAGGAGGTTCTTTGCTTGCTTCACCACTTCTCTGAAATCAGCAACGAGCGCCTTTCCTTCGCCAGACAACTTGGATGAGGGGTTCGAGAGCGCCTTAGACTCGAGGAAGCTGCTCAGGGCGACATCGATTTGGTCGTTCTGGAGGCATTGTTAGAGACAGAGGCAAACGAGAGATTGTTGCTGAGAAGCAAACATACCGATGGCACCTTGCCATTCTGGAAGGCACTGGCAATACCGTAGAACTGAAGCTTGCGGTTGACATCGGCCTCCTTCTCCTTAGTGTTGGTTGGTCTGTTGACCTTCGCTGCGCCGTTGGTAGCCATGACGGTTGGATCTGGGGGCTGGCTGATAGGAAACAGGGTATCACTAGTAGAGTCCTGGGGGTATCTCAAAAAAAAAAAAAACGACAACTAAACTGTGGGCGGGGTATCGGGGTATCGAATGCTGCGAGTCGTGTGTCTCGAGGTAAAGTGGAATATGCAGACAAGGTCTGGGAAGTAACGAGGTTTTAGAGGATGACCGGTGTATGATCACGGGTGACGGTGGGAGGCCGTTTAATACCAGTAAGCAAGAAAAGAGAGGACAAGACCAGGAGGGACCAAGAAGTGACGTTGCAGCGTGGGGAGCACTTGTGAAATGATTGAATGCGTCATACCAAAAGGAAGGAGAGAGATACAGACGGCTTCCTTGATCCTGCCTAAATCGTCGAGCCACAGCCAGTCACCCAGTTTGACTGGTCCTTTCCCTCAATGGGGCATAGAGCAAATAGCCAGCAGCTGCAACCCTTACACGACACGGCACCACGAGCATGCAGCTCACAGAGGAGAGAGTGAGAAACACTGCAATGAAGCTGGCAGATCACCGGCAGGGGTTCTGGCCCAGCATGGATTCGAGCTCTTCCCGCGATTCAATGCATGCGTCACAGCTCCAGCTTCGGGCCATGGCTGTTGTCATCCCAAACAAAGCTCTCCAGATCCCACCGCCCTGATTCGATGGCCCTGAACCACCTGGCCGATTCTGAACCCATCTTGGCGGCCGGTTCCCATAAAACGAATCGGCTTCCCGCGTGCCGACCGCCGTGTGAGGTGTGGAACATGTCTGCCATCTACCCATTGTGACTGCTTCAGATCTGCAATGCGACTGTTAATCTTGTGAATATTCCTCGGTGGAGATGGCGAGCATTCAGGGATTTTGATGACAGCTCTCCTCCTCCACACACACGTGTGTAAAACCAGCTCCAGAATCCACTGCGGACAAACACCCCGGAAATGGGGAGATTGACGTAACGGTTGGGCTTTGAAGCACAAAGCAACAGTCTCGCGACGTTGTGGCTGCAAACGAAGGACGTTGCGATCCATGACGTCATAGATGTGGGCCTTGGCATTGCACCAATTTCTTGACAGCGTTGACAGCCACTACCATCACCTTTTGCTGTTGTACAAGATCCCAGTTTCTGCTGGCCACGAATTTCCACCTTCAAGCTAATTTGCCTGAGCTTCAAGAGCTAGAGGCGTGGGCAGCCGCTTGTTCTCGTCGCCTGACGAGACGATTTCTCCCCTCACCCCCTGCCCCGAGCATGCACTTCAAGCTTCCCAATCACGAGCGAATGTCCTTTGTTGGATTCCCTCAATTTCGATCGGATAAATCTTCACAGACCGGTAGATCAGTGATCCCAACCAGCTGGATACAGTAGAACGGACCAGAACAATCTTTTTTACACGTGAGCATGTGATTCGTGTCACGTCTATTCAGTTTCAATTGCTTCGAGGGCCGTTGAGATGCTCTATCTCACTCTTTCAGAGTACCAAGGGGCCTCCAGTGTGGTGGTCTGAGAAGCAGACAGATGGTCATCTCCATGAGAGTCCGTCGTAAGCTCCGTGGTGATACACAGGGTCCTCACACTGAGACCATAGCAGGCTCGTGTGGCTCGTGTGTGAGACTTTGTACAATCAGCATGCCTCAAAACTGCAGTGCTGTACTCTGAGATAATACAAGGAGGCCAACCGTCCACTTACACAGGAATCTGAGAGGTTGTATCCGTATCGGTGCTCCTTATCGGACGATATCATCTTATCTCGTTATCGCCTGCCCCACTCGCATCTGTCCCGCCAAGTCGAGTCACATGACTTCGAGAAATGGCACCACAGTGCAGGGTCGCTAGCGCGGCCTTTCTGCGAGCCGGCAGCTGCCAAAGCCGCCTTGCCTTGACGCTCAGCGGGGAGAAAATGAGCGCTGCCGCCTCACCGAGCTGAAATCCTCCCACACCTGTGTCTCACCACCAGCGCAACCCACGTCCAGCAACGACCCCTCTCCTGACTATACGGTACCACAAGACGACTATACCCTTGGCGGACACTCTTCATATAGCCCAACTACCTAAGACGTCTTCACAGCGGTCTTTCATACTTGCGACAGCGATATTCCCATCGCGCCAGCGCCACGCGTCGTCGCTCCCGTTCCGTTCCCAGATCCCATTCCATACAGCTTCACCTGCGATCCCCTCCAACCACCACTCTACGCCCAACCCTCCTCCCCCTACTCTTGGTCAAAACCGCCCTCATATACCCCCTGCTTCTCCACTTTACCAACAAACCCCCCCCCCCCCTTCTCTCGGCCCCCGAAGCCTCACCAGCGTGTCCCACCCCGAAGATGAGTATCTTCAACCAAAAATCAAAATTCAAAGTAAAAACCGAAGTCCGCGCCGTAAAGAAGACCCTCCCCGAAAAACCCAAGCCAAAACCTACCTCCGCCCCCCCCTCCACCTCCCGAATCCCCTCCTCGGTGCGCGCATCCCCCTCCACAACCTCAACACTTCGCGCATCCCCCCTCCCGCCCTCCGCCCGCAAGTCCCAAATTGGCTCCTCCCGCTACCTCGACCCATCCTCCGCCCTGAAAGCCCCTTCCTCCTCTACATCCAGCAACAGCCGAAAGCGACCTCGAGCCAGCCACTCCCCCGCCTCCCCGTCCTTCGACTCAGACTCCGATTCTGACTCGGCCTCCGACGACGACTGGCAAGACCAGCTCGACCCACGAAAGCGCCTCAAGCGTCTCGAACAGCTGCGACGACATGACCCCAACCGCCGGGTCCGCCACCCAAAGATGTGGAAGGGCGACAGGGAGTCCGAAGGCGAGTTGCTGCCAATAATTCACGCCGTCGAAGTCGCCAGCCTCAGCGAAAAGTGCCAACCGGTTATGGGACTGTCAAGAGATGAGGTAGGCGTCCGGTTGCGCTACCCGGGCTCGAACCATAGGGAGAAGTACGCTTGTTCTATATTAATGTCTACCTTCTACAACTGCCATCTTTTGTTCTCGACAAAGGTGCAAGTCTATATGCGCGCATTGAAAAAAGCTAACAGTCCACCTCTTCCACAGATACGAACTGGTAAAAGGTAAAGACAAGATCGAAGGCGCTCAAGACATCCTGACCGTTGTCCGCCACGTCGCATCCATCTACCTCTCCGAAGAGGAAGCCCGCCCGTTTCTAGACCAAAACTCCGGCATCTACCGCCGGTTAGAACGCTGCAAAAATCTAAACGACGGCAAGGGTTTCAAAGAAGCGCTCAAAGAATATAGCGAAAGTCTGTTCGCCCTCCAGCGCAAAGGTGTGATCGCCAAGAACCTAGAAAACATGCGAGGAGTCCCGCAGGAACTCGTCGCCTTCATCCTAGACCAGGTATACGACCGCACCGTAGCCCCCAAAGTCGAGCTCCTCGCCAAGTACGAAAACGGCACCGACAACGTCTACGGCGAGCTCCTCCACCCCTTCATCTCGGACATTTTCGAGCGCACCCAACTGACCTCGGACATGGTTTTTGTCGATTTGGGATCCGGCGTTGGCAACGTCGTGCTCCAAGCAGCCCTCGAAATAGGCTGCGAAAGTTGGGGGTGCGAAATGATGGAAAACGCCTGCAACCTCGCCGACGCGCAGAAAAGGGAATTCGCCGCCCGCTGCCGGCTGTGGGGGGTAGCGCCCGGAAAGGTCCACCTCGAGAGGGGCGATTTCCGTAAGAACGAACCGATCCTCGAGTCCCTTAAGCGGGCCGACGTGGTGCTGGTGAACAATCAGGCCTTCACCTCGCAGCTCAACGACAACCTCGTCAACATGTTTCTCGACCTCAAGATTGGATGCAAGATTGTGTCGCTCAAGACGTTTGTGCACGACAACAAGCTGGCTGAGAACGATGTCGCTTCGTCGATCTTGGATGTGGAGCATTTGACGTACCCGGAGGAGTACGTCAGCTGGACGGGGGCGGCGGGGACGTATTGTATTTCGACGAGGAAGTAATTTTCCTGTCTCTTTTTTCTTTTGTTTCTGTTAGGACAAGGAGCGTTTTTGTTTTTTGAAAACGTTGAGCGTTTCTAAAAAGCGCGGTGCTAGGATGGAAATGGAGGATGGTTATATGGTCTGTTTGTTGGGTTTAGGTTGAAAGCGTTGAATACTTTGCACGAGTATGGCTTGTCAGGATTGTTTTTCATGTATAAAAAGGGAGGAGAAAGAGAGGAAGCGGAAAAGAAGGGAAGAAATAGCGCGAGCGACTGAAACCGCATGTATAGCATACGTACCTTTTCTGTTCAGATATCCCCATACATTTCACAAGTATACCAGTGAATATGGCTGATGCCAACATTGCTTTGCCACCGCGCAAAATCACCTCTTCTGTTTTGTTGATGAAGAAGAAGGTTTGTCATGCTCCAGATTCATCGCCTCGGTCTCCTGCTCCACGCGCGCCATATACCGGCTCAGGAGGTGGTTGTACTCGGCCTCTCTCTTTGCGCGCTGCTTTTCCACCTGGTCGAGCTGCATGTTTAGCACGGCGAGCTCATCTTGGACGTCGGCGACGAGCTTATTTTTCGCGCGGAGTTCTTCTTCTCGGTCACGGAGTTTGCGGGATAGTGTCCGGGCTTGGGCGGTCAGGTCTGCGAGGGCTTTGGAATCGGAGGTGGTTTTTGCGCGGAGGCGGGCGAGCTCATCGTCGGATTTTGCGAGGCGGGATTGGAATTGGGATTTGGAGCGGAGGGCTTCGGTTAGGTCGAGGCGGAGGCGGGTAATGGTTGCGTTGGTATCGTCGGAAGAGGGGGAGGAGGTTGGAGGGGGGGTGGTGGTGGTGGTTTTGCGGGAGGAGGAAGGAGGGGGTTGTTGTTGTTGTTGTTGGAGTTGGAGTTGGAGTTGAGATTGGAGGAGGGCTTTTTCGGCTTCGAGGGTGGAGAGGCGGTCGCAGAGTTGGGAGTCTGAGAGAGAAGGAGGGAGGTTAGTTGGGAGGGGAGGGGAGAGGAGGTGGTGATAGCGGGGTTGGTGGTGTTGTCGGTCTTGTGGGTGGATAAAACTGACATGCTGCGATTAGCTCCCGGTTGACGGGATGTTGCTTCTCGGCATCCTTGATTCCGGTGATGTATTCTGTTCGCCAGTTTTGCATGGTGGGGGGATGGGATGATAGATGGAAGGAAGTATTACCCGACAAAGACAAGAACGAAGAGAAACAAGTTTAAAGCAACGGAAAGCAAGATGCCCGAGAGTTTAAAGTCGGGCAACAATGCAGTGAGTTAAACAACGTGAGCTGGTGAGCTTACAGCTGGAACCCCGCCATTGTGACAGGGGTTTTGTCAAGCTTGGGGGTTGGGGTTGCCTCATTTGTCCAAACGGCAGGAGGCGCACAGTGTGGATTTTGGGGTCAGCCGGGCCAGCTCACAGTTGGAGCCTGGGCGGGTGGGCTGGCGGCGTCACGGCCGGTGAGCTCCCCGAGCTTCAGTGAGCTGCTGGGATATCCGCACTATCCATCACCAAACAACATCCACAGAGACCAAATATGGGGAGATGACAAAAGATGGACGTCGCTCATCCAACTGCAGGCTGGGAACAGCTTGGCCCGTCTTTTTACCGCAAGGTTCAGCTGTATACCCAGGTTTTTGATCAGGATCTGGACCTTGACAACTACATCGTCGCTGGTGCACCTTATAGCGGTGCTATAGGTGAGTGTGGATGCAACCCGCGTTTCCCCGGTTTCCGTTCATTGATGTTGACACCCGACAGCTTTATATCGTGATGAAGGCAAACTGGTAGCTTACCAGCCCACAAGAACATCCAAACCAAGCATCGACATTTACAGCTGCGCTGGGGGTGAGCCCATACTCTCTATCCCATGGGACAGCGGCTCTATCAAGGGCCTTGGCTGGTCTGAGGATGAGAAGTTGCTGGTCGTCACCGCCGACGGTACTGTGAGATGTTACTTTGATTTACAGGGAGAGTTTACACAGTTCTCTCTGGGAAATGGTGCTGAGGATTCGGGTGTCAAGTCATGCCGATTCTATGCCCATGGGCTGGTTGCGCTGTTGAACAACAACTCTCTCGTCTCAGTCTCATCATATAGCGAGCCTCGGCCGAAGCTTCTTGCACCACCTCCCGAGGGAGAGGTTCACTCGTGGAGTCTTATACCGCCGTCATATACCAACTCTCGGTCTGTCGAAGTGCTGTTGAGCATTGGCCAAACTATCTATGTTTCCGATGCCACAGCTTGTGAAGATCGAGGCCTGGATCAAGGACCCTTCACTCATATCACTGTATCGCCAAACGGAAAGTTTGTCGCCTTATACACCAAGGCCGGCAGAGTATACGTTATCAACAGCACTTTTGAGGAGAACCTGAGCGAGCATGACTCCAAATCCAAGATCCCACCAAAATACGTCGAGTGGTGTGGTAAAGACGCTGTTGTCATCGCTTGGGAAGACGAGGTCCATCTCGTTGGTCCATATGGGTCATCGGCCAAGTTCTATTACGACAGTGGCCGTGTCCATCTGTTACCTGGTGAGTAGCCTTAAAGATCAGCCCTCATCGTATGCTAATGAATGACAGACTATGATGGTGTAAGGATCATTGCCAATGATAGATGTGATTTCCTTCAAAAAGTGCCAGAGGACACGGAAGAGGTGTTCAAACTGGGCTCAGACTCGCCGGCATCCATCCTCCTAGATGCCGTCGAGCAGCTCGAAATGCAGTCCCCAAAGGCCGACGACAACGTCCAGCTCATACGTCCTCACCTTGTCGAAGCAGTGGACAAATGCGTCAACGCTGCCGGTCAAGAATTCAGTGAACATTGGCAAAAGCAACTCCTCAAAGCCGCTTCCTTTGGCAAATCCGTTCTTGATATCTACAACAGCGACGACTTTGTCGACATGTGCGAGACCCTCCGCGTTCTCAATGCTGTACGCAACTACAAAATCGGCCTCCCCTTGTCCTACGAACAATACCAACGCCTCTCGCCCTCGGGACTCATCACCCGTCTCCTCAACCGCCATGAATACCTTCTCGCTCTCCGCATAGCATCCTACCTCCGCCTCCCCACCGACAAAATCTACGTCCACTGGGCGTCAGCCAAAGTCCGCCTCGGCTCCGAAGACGACGACACCGCCTGCCGCAAAATAGTCGAAAAGCTCTCCGGCAAACCGGGCATCTCGTTCGAAGCCATCGCCAGAGCCGCCTACGAAGAGGGAAGGGGTCGTCTAGCTACCGAACTGCTTAACCACGAGCCCCGAGCAGGTAGACAAGTCCCTCTACTTCTCTCCATGGAAGAAGACGAGCTCGCCCTAGACAAAGCAATCGAATCAGGCGACACAGACCTCATCTACTTTGTCCTCCACCAACTCCGCCGCAAACTCCCCCTCGCGTCGTTTTTCCGCGTGATCAACTCCCGCCCTACCGCCACCGCCCTGGTTGAAGCAGCTGCTCACGAGGGAGACGGTGACGGCCACGAGGACACAGCCATGCTGAAAGACCTCTACTATCAAGACGATCGTCGTATCGACGGCGCGGCGGTGTTTGTGAGGGAGGCGCTACGTCAACCGGAGAGCAGGACCGCGGGTGATAAGTTGGCCTTGGCGGCGAAGTTGCTGGCTGATAACCCCAAGGAGAACGCATTCGAGATCGGTGCGGTGAGGGAAGCGAATTTGCTGCTGAGAATGCAAGAGGGGTTCGACCGTGACCTGGGTGATAACTTTACGGGCTTGAGCGTAAACCAGACAATGTTTAAGCTCTACCGGTTGGGGTACAGTGGCAGGGCGAAGAAGATACAGGGGGAGTTCAAAGTGCCGGAGAGGGTGGCGTGGTGGGTTAGGTATGTGTTTCTCCCCTCTTTTTCCCGCTGTTCATCTGCAGATACTAACACCAGGGTAACAATAGACTTCAGGCCCTGGTAGCAAAAAGAGACTGGAACGAGATTGAGGAGATTTCTAAACAGCGAAAGAGCCCGATTGGGTGGGAGCCGTTCTTCAACCAGTGCCTCCAGGCGGGCAATCCCAGGCTGGCGGCGGTTTTTGTGCCGAAGTGCACGGGGTTGGAGCAGGGGGCTACGATTACCATGTATGAGAAGTGCGGGATGAGGGTCAGGGCGGCGGAGGAGGCGGTCAAGTTGAAGGATGGGGACGCGTGGTTGAGGTTGCTGGAGGCGGCGGGACGGGGGACGAACGAGGGGAGGGAGATTGAGCGGGTTGGGGGGCAGGTTTTTGGTGGGAGGGGGAGGTAAAGGATAAGGGGTTAGATTTGAGTATTTGAATACCCCGTAGGAGGAAATGTTGTTTTCGTTGTGTCAAGACTTAGAAAGTGAAGGCTTTTTGTAGAAATTCCAAGAAGCTGCTGCTCTATGAAAATAGGCCCC